TGATCAGTAGAGGGAATCGACAACATAGCTGAGAGCTTCTCAAAGGATTCCCTGGCCTCACCCCAGAGCGGTGGGACCTTCAACGCTGCTATTCTACAGCAAGGAAACAGTGGCCTGGCTTCTCACTTACTGTCTGGCAGGCGTCTACAGCCTGGGGACCAGATCCGGCCCCCAGCTTGCCTGGATCTGGCTCAGGGCTGGCCCACAACATTTTGGCACCTGAGGCGTGGAGCCCCATGCCCCCTCTCTTGGGCCAAAACTTTGAAAGCTCTCAATTCTCTGGGTCCTAGTGGCGCCCCCCCCTCTCCCTCTCCCGGTCTGGCAACTGAGGCGGCCGTCTGAGTTTGTCTCATGATAAGGCCAGCCCTGATCTGGCTCCCAAAGCTCAGGGCTCCCCCCTCCAGCACTGGGAAGCTGGGGTGCCAGCCCTGTGGCCCCCCTCCTGCCCAGATCCTGCACCCCCACTCTGCTCCTTCACCCTCCCAGGACCACCAACCCCCTCACCCACTCTGTCACCCTCCCTCCTGCCCAGACGCCGTACCCCAGGCCTGCTTCCTAATATCTCCCTCCCGCACACTGCACCCCTCAGTTTTGGGCCACAAATATCTACTGGCCTGCCCCCACCCGCCGGCTCTGGTTTGTTTTGCTTCTCACCTATGTACAGCCCCTGACTGATTTTTCTGTGGGTCAGCGGCCCCCGACCCGAAAAAGTTCCTCACCTCTGCACGATGGGCTTGTCTACATGGGCAGCGACTTTGGATTAACTCCACGATTAACTCCAAATGCGCTTCGGGACGTTAATGCCAGGCGGGGGCCAGATCCCGAGCTGCGACCTGCCTCCCGAAGACCCTGCTTTTAGCTGCATGAGCTGCACAGTCTCTCTCCCGGTTCCCTGACGGAAACCTGGTTCAGTGCCTTGCCCTCCACCCCACCTCCGAGCGGGTTCAAGTCTCTGTTCTAGCACATGCTTCCAGCATGAGCCGGGGCATGTCATAGGCAGCCCACAGGAATCAGGCCCCTTAATACATTTGAGGATCCGGGCTTTAATTGCGCCGTGCCTCAGTTTCCCATCTATAAAAGGGGGAGGCTGGCTGGGTGTTGGGGGTGGAGTGAGTCACTGCAGCAGAAGCCAGGATGGATCAGCTGGATGGATGGAGCGTACCATTCCCTCTTCTGCTGTGGGGGAGGTTACAAGGAGGGCAGAACTCTTAGTGGGGCGATGGCCTCTGGGCAGGGGATGTTTTCCTGGTTTTTGGGCCAATGCAATGAGCGCACGAAGAGGGTGTAATCCACCTACTCCTCCTTCTCCTGCCCCGGCATGGATCTGCTCAGGCACCGGCCCGCTGCAATAACACATACCCGGGGCGTCGGGCCAGGTGTCTTGCTCTGCCCGCTCTCACCTGGGCTCACTATAGCCACTGCCCCAGCCTCCCTACGTGCAGAACAGCTCTTGGCCTGCCTGTAAATCCCACCGGCCCTGAGAAATTAAGCCGAGTCTCGGAATTGTAGCATCCCAAAGGGATGTCCTCTGGGCCGGTGAGGACAGGACGAGAAGCAAAGGGCTTAAACTGCAGCAAGGGAGGTTTAGGCAGGACGTTAGGAAAAAGTTCCTGACTGTCCGGGTGGATAAGCACTGGAATACATTGCCCAGGGAGGTTGTGGAATCCCCATCTCTGGAGATTTTTAAGAGCAGGTTGGATAGACCTCAGGGATGGTCTAGATCAGTGTTTCTCTACCTTTTTTCTTTATAAAGTACCCCTTTAAAAATTATAAGTACCCCCAGAGCCAGGCACCCGCATCCCCCCCTCTAACCCAATGCACCCACCCCTCCCCCATTTGCTACCTTATCCCATAATTCTTGGCATCACCTGACTGGAGCAGCATGACTCTTTCATCTCCTACTGAAAAAAGAGGATCATCTTCCCTTCTGAACTCTGCCAGTGTGTCTGCCTATTTGCACTTGGTCCTAACTCTCTGGTGCTGGCTCCTACAGCTCATCAGAAACAACAACATGTTTGTACTGGGATATACTAGCCAAAAGGAGTCACTCTCAAGCTTGGGTTCCCATCTACCTGAAAAATATTGGAAATATGCAGACATTTTTAAAAGAAAAATGCAAACACTCTACCATGACTACGACTGTTCATAGACCAGCAACCCGGAGTGAAGGTCTGTATGGATGGATTTAGGCAGTGTCTGAGCTGTAGCTAGCAGTCCTTTATCCATGGAACTCAAAGCAATGGTTTCATTCATTGCTCCACCTCCCCATCTTAGGATCTGATCCTTTTCATTAAGGACATCTGAAAATTTCACTTTCGTGTAGACTATCAGGCATAAACCAGGTGTTGGTCCACATCAATATCATCCCACCTCAAAATTCAGCGTTACTAGATCGTACACAGTCTGCCAGATGTATCGATCAAACAGGATTCATGGAAGTTACAGCTGGATCATGGAAGGGGAGGGACATAAGACAGCCATTTGAAGCTGTTAAGGGCATTTTGAATATTGAATAATGCTTTGTAGGCTGATCAAAGCTCTTTGGACCTTTCAACACTTTGTAAACAACATATTTAGAGATCCTAGACCAGTGTTTCTCAAGCTTTTTTTTTTATAAAGTACCCCCTTTAAAAAAAAAAAGTACCCCAATGCACCCACCCTTTCCCCAGAGCCAGGCACCCCCAGCCACCCCACTCTAACCTAATCCACCTCCGCTCCCCCAGAGCCAGACACCTTCAGCCCCTCCTCTCTAACCCAATGCCCCTATCCACCCCCACAGCCAGTCACTGGACATATGGTAACCCTACCTTTGAAGTGCCCGCTCCAATTGCCCGGCCCTGCCTTGGTGGCTTGACTGTAGGGAGCAAGTGGTCCACCAGCACTGGGCTCACCATGTGGGGCTGTGCACTCCCATCCCATCCTGGCACCCCGGTATCATGGTGCTATGGGGCAATTGTGTCCCTGCCCCCACTCGCTATGCCACTGATGCAGGGGGTGGGGAGAGGGAGAGGGGCGAGGTCCTTTGGAGCAAAGCTTTTTGTGCTGCTTCACTTCCTTTTAGCTCCTCTCCGCAGCGCCATGGGGAAGGGGTGATGGGGATGCCTTGTACTGAGCTGCTGGCTGGGATAGAGGTAATGCACATCTCCAGGCTTAGTTGTTCTCCTCGATGGAGCACCCCGGGGAGGCTGCCAGAGAGGAAACTAACTAGGACAGGGGGCCATGAAAGTGATTTTTTTTCTCCCCACCCAAACCCGCCCCCCAACTTGGAACTGCCCTTGGTCTCACCGGAGCTGTGTCCACAGCCACAGAGCAGCTGTTAACGTCTGGGCGTGTGGCTCCGACACATTCCACCGCCCTCTCCCCGATCCCCTTTGCAGGGCAAAATCCCGGACATTTTTTGCCAAATTTCACTTGTGTTGAGGTACCCCCCCCCCCGACTTCTCTTGCGTACCCCTAAGGGGTACGCCTACCACTAGTTGAGAAACTGGTCTAGACAGTGCTTGGTCCTACCATGCGGGAAGAGACTGGACTTGACCTCTCGAGGTCCCTTCCAGCTCTAGCATTCTAGGATTGTGCAGGGATGTCAAAACCCACCCCGTTGCCTCTGCTTCCTCAACACAGTAAATGTCTCAGGACTGTGGAGGCGGCTGAACAGTGGCTGCTGCGAGAGGGGATGTGGCGGAAGGATTACTAAGACTCTCAGGAGCTGTCTCTTGCAGATCAAAAGAGCGAGATGACTTCACCCCAGATGTTAGTCACGCTCCATTCAAACTCCGCGGAGCTTTTCCCAGGCCTCTTAGCACAGAGATGGGAATCCCAGTTTCTTTTCCTCCCTGCCCACACAGAACAGCTTTTCCTCTTGCTGGGCTGGTGACGATGCCGCAGACTCGTTTGTGACTTTCACTCCACTTCGCCAGCAGCAGTTTTACTGAGGGTTTGTCTAGGCTAGAGTTTTCGCTGCTCTTTTAGCTCAATGAATTGATTGCCATGTAACTCAACTTTAGCTAACTGCGAATCATTATGGTTGGCACCCTTTTCCGGAAAAAGGATGCTAATGAGACACTTCGGAATTGCAGATGCCGCGTGGGATTTAAATATCCCCCGCGGCATTTCCATGAACATGGCTGCCGCTTTTTTCCAGCTCGGGGTTTTGCCAGAGAAAAGCGCCAGTCTAGACGGGATCTTGCAGAAAATAAACCCTTTTCCGGAAGATCCCTTATTCCTACTTTCAAGGTCCCTTTCAAGTAGGAATAAGGGATCTTCCGGAAAAGCATTTATTTTCCGCAAGATCCCGTCTAGACTGGCGCTTTTCTCTGGCAAAACCCCGAGCTGGAAAAAAGCGGCAGCCAGGGATCTTCCGGAAAAGCATTTATTTTCCGCAAGATCCCGTCTAGACTGGCGCTTTTCTCTGGCAAAACCCCGAGCCGGAAAAAAGCGGCAGCCATGTTCATGCAAATGCTGCAGGGGATATTTAAATCCCCCGCGGCATCTGCAATTCCGAAGTGTCTCATTAGCATCCTTTTTCCGGAAAAGGGTGCCAATGTAGACACAGCCTATTTGTATGGTACCAGTGCCCAGTCATGGGGTAGGACCAGTGATCTTCTAATTTTTTCCATCTAGGTGTGGAATACATTTTGTTATGTGCACCAAGGCATGTGCAGATGTGCACCACCTGGATAAACACATGCTGTGGGTGCTCTGCTCATCAGCTGGGTGGCATTGGAATCTTTCCTGGAGGGCTGCCCAAGCACTCTGCTTACAGGGAATTCTAGCCAAGACCTCGGGGCACTAGGTGCTGTATAAACACTGAATAAAAAAACCCAAACCCTGCTCCAGAGAAGTCACCAATCCAGCCACGCTTCAAATGTGCGCAGTTAAGGCTCAGCCTCTGTCCTCCGGAACAAATATTTGTGCCGTGTCTGGATGAGCTAAGCAGCTTTGGATATTGCTCTGAAATGACACGGGACTGGTGGCCAATGAGAAGGCAAGACACTGAATCATTGAGGTGGGAAGACAATTGCTTTATTAAATTACAGACGAGGCACAGAATACATTGTGCAACTCATCCGGCACATCCCAGACGGCTTCACGAGCTTAGAAGACACGGCAGCCGAGCAGAAAGTTCAGTGGGAGAGGCAGGTTGACACATCCGCTTCAAAGCTGTTTGTCAGGATTCAAAGCAACCAGAATGCATGCGGACGCCCAGACAGGAGTCTGTTCATCTTTGGGTTACACTGTGTCATCTTCACACACCTTCCAGAACTGACAACAGCCCTGCACGCTCACTAATTGCTCCGCACGGGGAAGAGGAAGAAAAAAGATCTCATTCTTGGATCAGGAATAGCAGTGAAGGAGTTAGACAAAGTCCACAAGAATATTTCCCTTCGTGGGTGAAGAATCAGAGTGGCCACCATCCGTTCATAATTGGTGGGATGGAAGGATGTTAGGAGGTGGTTTCTTCCAGGGTCTTTGTTAGATCAACCGGAGGGGAGGTAATGAACCATTTTGAACCTCTGGCTTGCTCTGATGGAGCAATGGCCCACATCAACCTGTGGAACTCCCTGCCAAAGGATGTTGTGGAGGCCAGGACTTTAGCAGGGTTCAAAAAAGAGCTAAATAAATTCATGGAGGATAGGGCCATGGCTGTTAGCTAGGATGGGCAGGAATGGTGTCCCTAGCCTTTGTTTGTCAGAAGCTGGGTGACAGGGAATGGATCAATTGATGGTTCCCTGTTTTGTTCATTCCCTTTGGGGCACCTGCCATCAGCCACTGTTGGAAGACAGGGCACTGGCCTAGATGGACCTTTGGTCTGACTCAGCTTGGCCGTTCTTATGTTGCTATCCACCCACTGGCGATGTGGTCCATCGACTTCAAAGGTGTGGGATATGCGACCGAGGACCCAACCCTGTGTGTCAATGTGCAGACCTCACCAGCACGCAATGTGTCCCCTCCCCCCGCAAGGCAGACAGGGCATAGCTGATCGCTGCCGATAAGGGGTTCAGCTCTATAGATCTAGCAAGGCGTTATGAACCAGGAGGCACAAGCCCTAGAAAGAGTTTGCCTTCAAGCTCAGCTGAGTTCCTGACCTTCTCCCTCCCTCCCTCAAACTAGTGGCAAAGACACAAGTGGTTGTCTCGGCTGTAGTCTGTATTGTTGTCTTGGCCACTACCCAACTACAACTGCTGGGAACACTCTTTTTGGCATCGTCTGTTTCAAGGGGAAAAAAGGACCCTGTGGGAAAAAGCCCTATTTTACTCTGCATGGTGATTTCTCTCGGGCTGGTGCATTTCACGTCTGAAGCTGGAAGTAGAGAAGACATCCCCCGCTCAGAGGAGACCTTCCTTGCTCTATGAGGAGAGCTGTCCTAAAGAGGTGTCAGCCAGACATGGCGGGGGGGAAAACAGAAAACTCAGTAACCACTGAAAGTGCGGTGAGCATATATTTCACCGTGGATCGAGGTCATCTTCCCCATTCACAAGCTACCAGCCCGTCGCCGTTTAGATGGAAAGAAAAGGCATTGAAGGTCTCAGAAAGCCACACAATGTAAATGAAACACCTCGGTACGCAAAGCAGACAAACGAACCCGACGACTGAAGTTAAAAAGCCACAGAGGATGAAAAATGCTCCTAAGACTTGCTTGTGTAATGGGGACTTTCCATGCATGTGAAGTATCCTTACGGAGTGCTAGAAAGGGGCTGTAGTATAATTGAAAGCCACGTCCAATGTGAAATTTGTTGTATGAAAAAAATAATTAGAACCCCCTTCCCTGGCTGGAGCATTCCTCCCGATCCTAAATTGCTCTTAAAAGGCTGAATTTTCCCAGTTACTTTCCATGAACTTTGTACCCCACCGGGACACAACTGAACCCTAAGTCTTGGAGTCCCTTTTGCTACATTCTACAGGACACTGGGGTTTAATTCTCAAGTGTTTAAAAAGAAAATCCAAATAAGCGTGTTAAAAATCATTTAAAAAATGGTGTTAGGAGGGTAAACTTCCTACATGCTGCTTCTGATTGTCAACAGAAAATTGCCTACCATACGTTTAGAAGAGGGCCAGCTATTAGAGGAGAACAGGGGTGAAGATCCCTCATCTGCCCTACAATTATATGGTTTCATTTGAGCAGAAGTAACAGCTGTAATGTGTCTGTGGTTAGAGTGTCTTCCATATCCCTTCAGTCTTCTTCTGAAGACCAGGATTCTTGTTCATCTTTGAGCTGGAATTTCAGATGCTGGCTGGGTCCCAGGTGAAAGGCATCATCTCCGAAAGGGGATAAGACAGAGATGGTTTGACCCTCAAGGTCCTGTCTTTGCATGCAAGTGCTCTGCATTATGTCAGCGAATTTGCTGTTGTCGGTTTCACTGGAGACCTGACCTTTCTTGGAGTGTTCTTCTCCAGGTCTGTGGCCTTCTTCATAGTCTGGCGTTTGCAATGGGCTCTGGCTTCGCAGAGTTTCGGAGAGGGGTTCCTCTTCATGGAATTCCTGGATGAAGGGGACCTTCCCAAAGAATTCCTCCCCTGAAGAGCTCATCTCATGCTCTCTGGATTTTGCACAGTCGTTCTGATCGGCTACGAGCTGCAGGTCGGAGATCCCATTCAATATCTGCTCTTCATGCAGCCCATTCAGTTCCCCGTTGGTGTTGCTCTCCGTCCAAATGTGGCTGGATATTGTCAGGTCCTTGGCATGCGGTGAGGAGGTCACAAGAGTCTCCTGCAAAGCCTCAGTCTCACTCGTCTCGGATAACGCAGGAGAGGAGTCGCCGCCGCCTCTCCCAACCTCCTGAGTCTGGTTGGACGCTTCACCCCCACCTGGAGCCGGCTGTTCCCCTTCAGCATGCAGCTCTGAAAGCCTCACACCCAACATCAGCTCTTGGTTAAACTCCAGAGCTTGCTCTACAATCTCCAGAATGTCTGAGTCTTTCATGACCTCTGCCGGAATCTTTGCTACCACCTCCACGGCGTGGTCCATGCCGCTTTGATTCACCTCTGGAGCATCCTTTGGCTGTCCGGGGTCAACTCCTTCGCTGAGTTCTGGATCAGAAGCCGGATGAGATTGGGTGACGTTGGGGGACTCCTCATCCTCGGAGGAAAGAGGGCTGCTGGAATTTGGGCTTCCTTTCGGGCTAAGAGGCAGCTGCCCTTCCAAACCAGCGTCTCCTAGGTCAGCCGTGCTGCTCAACGGAGAAACCTTCTGAGCCTCTTCAGGTTCTAGGTCACCTGACTCGATAGCATCCAGCGTACCGTCGCTCTCTGTTTGAGCACCACCTGAAATGCTACGGCAGCCGTTTTCTTCTGTTGGGAAATCACCGTCCTTTTCCGGCTCCCAGGTGAAATCTGAGCTGCGGGGCTCACTCTCCTCTTGAGGAAACCCTCTCCCCTCGCTTTCTTTGCCGGTGTCGCGCTCCTGTTCGAAGGTCCCTTCAGCCTCCTCCTCCGATTGAGCAGCGAAGAGCCGTTCCTCCCTTGGCCTTTCAGACAGCGCCGGGTGCATTTTTGGATCTGCTCCGGGCAGATTCGAGGTTCCGACATCGCTTTCTTCAAAGTCCTCCAGAACCTCGGCTTCCTCCAAACGGGGTGTCTTTTGGGCGGGTGCCGAAACCATGAAATAACCTTCTACCGCTGCCCTCTCTGGTGTGCCTGCCAACGCCGTGTCAGATGCATCCTCCTCGTGGCTTTCCTCCTCTTGGGAGCTTGTGGGTGTGGCCCTGCCCTCTAACTGTCCTTCATCCTCTGGAGGAACCTCAGGGCTTTCGGGGGCTGGCGATGCATCTCCACCAGCATCACTTACTGGAGGCTGTTGATTGGCCGTGGCTTCGTCCAGCATCTCCTTTTCATAGAAGCGCAGGGGTGTGCTGTCTGGCAGCGTTTCCTCCAACATAATCCTCTTGCCACTTTCCAATTCCTCCTCCATCCCTTCTGCTGTCTGGGAGGCATTAGGGGAGACATCTTCCAGGGAGTCCTCAGATTCCGAAGAGCCGTCTGGTGCCTTGGAAGCCACGTTTATGTTCTCTGGCCTTTCAGGTTCTTCACGGAGTTCTCCCTCCACGACCCCCCCATCATCTACCTTCACCTTCATCTCCCAAGCCTCCTCCAGCACCTTGGTCTGCTCATCATTGGTTTCATGGCCCGGGGAGTCTCCAAGCTGCAAAGTAGATTGGCTCTGGATGTCCTCTGGCTCTATTTCACTGCTGTCCTGGTCTTCTTCCATCAGCTCCGTGCCAGGACTGGTCTCCTGCTCTGCTTTGCTGTCTAGCATCGGATGCGCACTGCCTATAAAGTGACCGGCATCATCATCTTCCATTGTTTCTTCCATCTCTGTACCCAAACTGCCCTTTATCTGCTCCCCTTCACTTTCTGTTTCTCCAGTGCTGGTCATTAAAGTGTCCGTCCATGCTGGCTCTTGCAGAGCGATGTCAGCTGTTTCCTCTATCTCTGGATGTCCCACCCCATCTTCCGGACCCTCCCCTTCCTGTGCCTTCGGCAGTTGGCTTTGATAGTCCTCCTCTTCTACTCTTTCCTCTTTGCCCAGGGACTCCGGTCTCTGACCATTCTCCAGATCCTCATCCATCAGCATAATGTCTTGCTCAAAGCCATTCTCTTCCAGATCCCCATCCTCGTCCTCCAAGGTATCCTTCTCCTGCTTTAAGTTCTCATCTCTCAGGGTGTTCTCATCTGCGCTGAGATCCTCGTATCCCATAGTTTCCACGTCCAGCTTTCCTTTGTGTCCTTCACTGTCCTCTCTTCTGTCCATGGTCTCATCCACTAGGATGTTTTCTTCAGCCTTTGACATCATCTCATCCCCAAGGATGGCCTCTTTGAGGCTCCGATCTTTCCTCTCCTCCTCTCCTACTGCTGCCTCAGCCTCGGGAAGCAACATTTCCTCCTCCTCAAACTTGTCCTGCTCAGCTCCACCACGATGTTGTTCTTGGTGGCTTTCCACGACCAAAGTCGGTTGACTTTCCATGGGAAAAGCTTGAGTCACTTGTATTTCCGTGTGCAGAAACTCACTTCCCTGCCTCTCTGCTTGGAAGTTGCATTCTTCCGTCTCTCCAGAAAGGTTCCAGAGTTCTCGCCTTTCCTCGTCTTCTGACGGATGCCACGCGGCTAGGCTCCCCCCCTCCAGGTCTTCTTCTCCTCGGTCAGGCTCTTCCAAATTCCCTTCTGCAACAGCGAGGTTG